CATATTTTTAAGTAAAAGTGAATTAAAAAATTGCTGGATCAAGAATAGACGGTATGATCGTTTTGACTCTGGATTATCTAGATCTCGATTAATTAAACTTTCAATCCTCCAATCTCCAGATTGTCAGGGCACTCAATTATTGGGATTCCTAAACACCGGGACCACCGACTGACAGAATTAATGATCATATAAATTCCGGAACAAACCCCAAAATCGACCGAACTTGCAATCACCATTACTCACTATTCCGCGAACTTCCGGTTATTCACAAATTGGTTCTCGGTTTCGAACTTTTTGGACGCATAATCGGATCATCGCGATAGAGATAAAATACACGACGGCGAACAAACAGTTTTGATCGACGTGATCGATCGAAATAGATTTAGATCGATGACGAGAACATGGACAAAATTAAAGAAAGTTACTTTAGAATCGTAGATAAAGATGATTAACGTGTATTTGAGAGTTTGTTGCTCGTAAATAAGTCTTGCAAAAAGAGTCGGGAAAATAAAATGAAGGATGAGAAATCCTATTAATCGTTGTATATCGTTTACAGAGTATTATGCAATAAATGACCCTTATAGTCGATTTAAAATATGCACGATGCTCCGTATCTCCTTAAAAATGTACAGAATATTGCGTAATACGGGACCCTCCTTTACTTCAAAACGTACTCATCCGGCTGTTCAAAGAAATCGGTTATGCGGACATCCTGTGCTCCGACTACTTTGAATAATTGACGTTCTACGGTATCTCGTAAATTATTTACATTTCGAAGATTTCACCTCGCCACTTTTATAAGCAGAATCGATTTGCGTGGAACAGATGCAATTGTATCTTGCAGAACATTTTGATGATTTGTGCCCTATGTATTTCTACTGTTATTTTGAATTTATTTCATAAAAATAATCTACAAACGGTCAAATAAATACGTGTCACTATCTTCATAAAAATCAATGCGCTTATTGCAGTCCAGTGTGTATTCAGTGTGAAATAAAATAGGAAAAAATTTGTTCCGGTTCGCTTTCCTTCGGTTGTGTTCGCGCACATTGTTATGACAATGAAAATACCTGCCTTTTGTACCACTTTTCTGATTCGCTCGTCTGGACATTTTTATATCGTTTCAAAAATTTCCAATAACGCGTCGTTAAAACACTCCATCTATTTTCCCATTCAGAGATGGACACCATTTTGGTCGAATAACGAATAACAACGGAGGCCATTGTAAAACGATTTACTCTTTTACTTTTTAATACTTCGTTGCATAATTGAAATTCAAATTTTTATTCGACCAAGTACACCGATGGACTGGAACTTTTAATGTGTTTTTAAAGAGTATTTGGAAATATCGAACGGTGCTTCGAACCTTTGCACGTAAAATGAGAGCATTTCAACGAGACGAAACAGAGTTCCAATAATCATCTTTTGCAAAGTTATTTCCGAAATACACAGAAAATGTCTCCGTCATTCCGTGGTCGAGACGCCACATTCCATTCGTACCGCATCAGCTCGCCGTCACTCATGACCTCCAAACGTGGCATTAACTTTTCCCGGCGCAATGCGTCCGTTGGCTCCACGATTAACGGTATCGGTAACGGCCCACGAAACAATTTAGACGTGGCAACGCGTCGCTTCTGTCGAGTATTATTATAGTTCTCCAATCTATCACGGTCGAGTTTGCACCAAAGGTTCGATCGATCGACCATCGGGAACAGACGAGTAATCTAAAAACGTTTATTTCAAATCGAGCACTTTGCCAAAACAATTGCTCCATCCCTTCACGATTCTTTCTCTACTTTCCTTTTTAATTAATTCAACAACACGAACGTACGAGAATATCTTTTTCAATTCTTTAAGATTCACTAAGCTTTACCGCAAAGTCTGCAAATCCGAGATGAACTGCCAGTTTTAATGCTTTTAGAACCAAATTAATAATATAGTATCATCCAAAAGGGATTTCTTGTCGAAAGTGCATCGAATAAGAGAAGGCTTATTTTTTCTCGTGTAAAATATTTGGAAAATATTATTTATCTTAATTACGTTCGCGTCTTTCAATATATCTTTTGTTTTGACACTAAATAAATGACAGAAGCTCGAGCTTGGTCTTACAAATGATTACTGGTACAATATTAATGAATGATAAGAAAATAACGAAAGATAAAATATATTCCAACTGTAAAAAAGCATACTCAAGTGTGATAATACTATACGATAAATCAGGTATACTGAGTTCAGATTAGATTAAAATAAATGTACAAGAATGTTATTGCAATTCTACAAAATATCACAAGTCGTTCGATAATAAATTCTTAATCGAATAAAATTTATTAAAAATACTTCTATATGCTTTAAGTTAAAATAATTAATAATTTAAAGCTTAAAAATATACTCCAACAGTTGTTGAATTTCGACGATCGGTATAGTAATATAAGGAAATGTTTACGTTAAAAATTTTCCTTCGTGACCAGTTCTCGGGAGTAAAAATTCTGGTTCCACGGCGCGATCCTCGTTCGACATTACGAAATGCAGCAAAGAAGGACTGGTTGGTGGAAACGATGCGCACGGAAATGTTCAAACCCTTTACTCCGGGCGCAAAGAGAAATTCGTCGGCCCCAACGTCTGCAATTTTTACGTTTGTATTAATATCAGCGTCAAAGCGACACGCGAGAGAGCGCGTTTAAAGCGCCGATAGGCTGAAAGAGTGGGACAAAACGAAAGAGATAGACGGGCACAAACGCCGCGCTCGCAAAACGCGAAACATTCCGCGGAAGTTTTAACGAACGGTGATTTAGAGGAATGATTATGAAAACACGGGAGTGCAGCGCGCAAGGACGTTTATCCGAACGCGATACAATTTCGCGCGATATTACTGCGACCTCAAAGGGCTCGCTGGCCACATTTCTCTCTGGTAATATCGAATTTGAATCGCAAACAGGGCTGATGCGCCCTTCCGCCGAGCTACTTGATCTACGATAAAAATAATAACCGGTACGTTATTGGTCAACAGCCGGAGGTTGGAAAAGGCTCGAAATTTTTGCACGTTGCGCCAAAATGTACGAATCTTTTCGAGTATAAATAATTTATCTCGTCGGAGCGATACATAATCGGCGCGTTATGTAACAGATATTTCGACGATCAACTTTAAATCTCGTCAGGTCAACCGAACTTATCCGCAAATATAAACACTTACAAGATAATCTTGGCAGCACCGACAACAAAGAAGGCGCGATTATTTATTCCAACGACGACGGTCGTCGCTACGCGCGATAACGTCACTTTTACCCGCGAATATATTTAACTACGATTATCTCGGCCCGTTATCGTCGACGATGAAAAAATTTTCGTTAGGCTCGAGCAAAAAAATTCCATTGCTGTCGTGACCGATAAAAGACTAAATTCGCGAGCAACGAGTGTTTCACGGCGCAACAGTTTCGTGTTATACGACACGAGTAGTTAAATATCCGTCGTTTAACGGTCTGGAGGATCGTTTCGTCGAAGGAGCGGTGGAGAATGTAAGTAAACCTGCTGTCAAAACCGATTTCTGACGTGGCACAGCGTCCAAAGTGCTCCGAGTCATTACGCTGTTGAGATTTCCCGTTATCGATACTGACTCAGGCTTCTATTTTAGACACTGGTACCAGTGCGTGCTCCAAATTCTAACCGCGATGCTCGCTATACGTGCTTTCGTAAGGAAATTCATTTTTAATCTCTTAAAATCTAACCCAGACCTTCGACATTCGAAACGTGACTAAGAAATCTTAAAACGCGTTTTATCAAAATTCTCTACAATTTTTTTTTATTACAATACTCCGTAGGGAAGTAAGACAGACTTGAACATAATTTCATGATCTTCTGTTGCATTTTGGCTTGTAAAATCGCTTCGTAAAGTATTTATCACTGGCAGATAAACACTCTGTGTAAACGCTTGAGTTACGAGTGCTCTCGTCGCCACAGTATCGCGGCACAAGCGTATCACCGACAAAAATTAGAATGCATATATATGTATACATTGAATCGAACGAACATTTATTTGAAAACGCGTTTCGAAGTTCCAGTGCGCGCGAGAATGTAAAAAATAGGAACTCAATGGAGCGCATTAACGGACCACTTGTCGGGTCATCTGTTTACACGTTCCTTCTGCAAAGTGTCCGCGTTGGCGGATCGTGCGCTCCAATGGTGTGAGAGCACGTTTCGCGTTCGAATGAATCGTCAACGTTAAACCATCCCGTCCAATGATCGCGCGGATCCACGTATGAACTGGATCGACGTCATTAATGTAACCATACGGGTGAACGCTCATCCTCGTAACGGGGATCTAAATCGTTTAAATTCGACGATTTCTAATTAGTCTTGTTCGACGCTTCCTTTGTGTACGTATGCCGGCTAGCTGTATACGATTGAATATCAAGAGAGGTCATTGATCGTTTCGAGAAACTGCTGGTAGAAACAGAAATTCAAAGGCTGCCTTCCCTGGGTACGCGTACGATTTACGAGCGTTTCTAGTTCGAACTATTCGTGACGCCTGCTATCTTGGATCGACAATACACCGAGCAAAGTTCGTTCCATCGACCTAATTAATTACTTTCGCACGGTACCGTTTACTCAAGGTTCTCGCGCGATACGTTACCAACGACGAAAGGAGGATCAACTTGGAAGATGATACCATCGCTGAACGTAACTGTTCCTAATCGACATAAACGAGACTGCCGTTCGTTGACATCACGCCGTCCTACGTGTACCATGGAACGGATCCTCGACATCTGGAACGCCAGTTCCCTCGGTCTACGCGATCGTCGACCTCGTAAATGACGTTGGTCCATTTTAAAAAAAAACGTTCTCAAAGAAGGATACACTCGTCGAGGGAATGGAGCGCGGACACGCGATAGGTGGGACACGTGTGCCCGTAAGAATCGAGCCGAGTCTGATCGCGAACACAGGAAATGAAGCACGACCGCGCGGAGACGCGTGACCGGAAGCGCTGTGCGCGAAACATCACTGACCTTGAATCGAACTTTGTACCATCCTGCAGCGTCCCGGTGTAATGCATCGTCAGCTGGTCACGGATTTTCGACTTGTTGTCGCATACCTCCGGCACGTAGACCTTCTCGACCTTCAGCCCCGACTGGCTCTGATCGGCGTCGGCGAAAACAAGAACGACTGCGAGCATGACAAGCACCGTACGGCACGACGCGAGCACGACACTCGCGGTATTCTTCGAACGGACAGCCATGATTCGGTACGTACGCTGGCGAATGCTCGTGAGCAACTGAGTCGTGTCGCGCTGTACTCCGTCGAGCTACCTTCGTTCCCCTCCCCCGCTGACGGCTGGCTGCGCTGTGCTCGGTTCCGAGATCAGGCGAACGGGTTGGAAAAGGACGGGAGTACCGTGCCGCCACATTGCGCCGTCTCATTGGCCCCACGGAATATGTAGGTCTCTGCCTCGGCCTCTTTTCCTCCTTCCTTGTTTCACGCCGTCGCCGTCTCACCCGTTCGGGTTGCGTTCTGGTCCTCTCCTGTCCCTTTTTTCCCTTCGGTACGGGTTTTCTCTCGCTCCAGCCCGGAGGCTTCCTCTCTCGCCGATCATTTCTCCCGTCGCCCACGGCCTCGTTTCTTCTTCGTTTCTCCTCTTCGTTTAGCCACCTTCTCGTTCCGCGGTCGGGTTCTCCAACGTCGACCTTCCTTCCTTTCCCGCCTGCACGCGTACTGCCGGCCGTGGTTCCGTCACCGACTCCCGTTCCATTCCGGCTCTCTCTTTCTTCGAAGCTGGCCCGCGTCCTTCTTTCCACGACCGACGGAGCCTTCTTTCTCGCTTCCTTGCGGTACCCTGCACCGACCACGTTCGCCGTTCCAGTCTCCTCGCGATGAACCCTGCCCCTTCACATCCTCCATGTGTGTCTCCGTTCGGGTCGCTTTGTAATTTACAATTAGACCCGAGAACCCGCTGTTTCTCTTCTCGTTCATCAGTACGCGATCCTTAAACGTCTAATCTACTGCTTCGATTCTACCAAAAACTCCAACCACCTTCAAACGTTCAAGTTCAAACACCAGGTGTAACAAGATTTCATGTCGTTCTTGACTATTTTATATCGTGGCTTGGATGAGGATTTCCAGGTTTTATTCCAGTTTTTGTTTATTTTCTTTTTGAGTAGATAGAGTGTGATTTTTTTTTTGGTAGGCTATTGTTGTAGTGGTTGAGGTTAGGCGAGTTTGAAGCTTCTTTAGCCACTTTATCCGCTCTCCCATTCCCAACAATGCCAATATAGAAGGGAACCCAGATCACTGTAACTGCATTGTTTCTATTTGTTGATCTGAGGTAGAAACGTCTTCGTATACTTATAAATATGTAAAACGATAATAAATAAAGTTTCCAAGAAATAGTTTACACGAGATATTATATACACCTTCATTGGTCAGTTTAGGGTCGACCTTTTAAGGTACATGATCACGAGCAACACCCAAAACGCTCGCCGCTAGTGGGTTTCTTCGCTTTGGACCAAATATGGGCAACCACGAGTTCGCAGGCCACCTGTGGTCCGTGCCAACCATTTATGGGTGCCACAGTTTATGCAAAATTTTATACTACTTTTGTGTCACTCAAATGCTCCTACTTGTATCTCAAACCTCTTGACGAGTTGTATATCGCAGAATTGTAAAGGTTTATTGATCCCACGGATATTGTACACGGTTTTTCAGTATGGATTCGCAACGGTCGTGGAACTACAACAGCGTTATTGCACATTTCCAGTACAATTCTCCGTGCTTTCGATTCGCGCGGTGTTGCATTCATTACTTCGTTGGGCTTCACAAAAGCGTTTGACACGATTGAACGTTACCTGTTGATTGCTATATTACACAATTTTATCAGGTGCAAATTACATTTAATTATGTAAAAATTCTCCGTTTCTAGTATTGACTCGTTGAATACGCTGATACGCGTATACTGATGCCACTCAACTGATTAAAGTTTTTAATTCACGTTCCGCTAAATCTACCAAGCACGAGATAGACAACGATGAAGTACACTTTTCCGTTTGTGCAATTTAGATGATTTGCGCTTCAATCCTTTCAAATCCTCTGTACTGGTTTTCGGATATTCTATCCTCCTTCGGAAACCTTTCCTCCTTTAGTATCTCGCTTGATTAAATTCCTCTTACCATATACCGGATCGGGACATAAGTTCGTAGAAAGTCGAAAACAATAAAACACTCGACCGTGACACGTGTCCTTTTTTCTCCTTTCCGGAAATAAGGGACGATGGACGTAAAAAATTTTTCGAGTACACGGGGAACGCAACTTTTTTGGAAAACGCGAGAAACTTTGCGGGAGAAACGGACCAAGTCCGCTGGGACGCGGAAGAACTGCATCAAAAATAATAACCTCGGCTTCCGTGTCATTCTTTACAAAGGAAATACGCCCTGAAAGTGCCTTTCCCTCCTGAATAGAATTCCGCCGTCATTGCACAACAATTTATGCGCACACACGAAACGAGAAAGAAAACCAAACGTTGACATTTGTCTTCATTAACGATTCCTTCCAGCGTTCCTCCGCCAGCGTCGTAATTAATTTCCTTCTCGTTCGCTCGTTTTTCCAAACGTTCCGCATCTGTGTCCTCCCTGGCCAACTTACTTATTCGCTCAGTCTTCAACCCCCGTTCCATCCCTCGAACATAATTCCTCGTTTTCCTGAGTTTCTCTTGATCTGCACTTTGTCAATACGCGATACCTACCCCCTACTTCGTATTAGTCGCTATCTCGTTGTTCCTCTCTTTGTACATTCCACTCCAACACACTTCTCGCGTGTGCGTGCACAACAGATATCGTTTTGCTGCCTCTCTGCTTCCACCACTGTGTATCCCCGTGCCTGTCTCCTTTTCTCTTTCACGCTGCTCATCGTCCTACTTTCTTCGTTTGTCGTAGGTGCAGCCATGCGGATTGAAGCTTCGCAATATGTTCCTTCCTGCACGATGTCAAACACAACACCGACATCGTTGTTTTCCCCGTGTTACGTGTGTACTTCGCGATTCGCGAACGCGCTGCAGCATCTTCCGTCCTATGAAAAATTAATTCGTATCCCTCGCGATTGTACGTACCGTATCACTTTATTTGGTCGATGGTACTTCGGGATCGTTTCCTTAAAAGGACGGAATATCTTTGACCCCGAGCAACACAGATTTTGCATTTTATTAAATCGAACTTGGGATCTACGATTGCGGGGGAATTATTACCATATGTAGTGGGTTGATCCTCGTTTCTCGATTGCAAGTTTCTTTTTGCAAAACGCACCAACACGGTCACGATTCACGAGAAAATAATTCCTGCTTGGATGCATGATAGTAACACGTGTGTTCTATTTCCAGAAATATACTTTCCCATCTATTTTACAGAAATATACAAAAAAAAGCTAATATGCCGGAGGAAGCAGTAGAATCTAATTGGTCGAACCGTGTGATTTACATGCTCGGTGTATCATTCTGAATTTATTGTTCCACCGTGTATTAACATATCAATGAACTAAACCGTACCCGCCTCGGCCGTGCAGTTACAGTATGAAATACTAAATCGGTTGGAAATGAGTGCAACAGTAACGAAAATAGCCAGCAATTACGGTATAGAAACTCGACGGTTCGTGACATAAAAGAATAAAAATGTGAAATTACGAGCTACAAGAATTCCTCGCTCTGCATACGAAAAAACATGAAACCCGCTAATGACACCACTTTTTGTCGTGCCTGCGTGCCAATAGTTTTCGAGGATCAAAGTGAAGCCTATATTTGAATTAATTTTTACAAACAATCGAATTCCAAAGTTGAATACTACGAGGATAGACTTTCCTGTATCGGAAGCGCAAAAAGATGCCAAAGGTATCGGAGAAACATTGTCCAGTCTCTGGTAGGTAATCATGAGGCGAAGAAATTACTTTTTCGATAAGGGAACGTGGTCTTCCGGTCTCCGAAGTCGTGATTTTAGCGCTCTCGGCTATAAGTCCTAATCTGAATCCTATGGAGACTTTGCACGTAATGGTTCGGGGAATACACCCACGATGCGTTTGCAACAGAGCAGAACCAGAAATTCAGAACGGACGGACTTAATCAAGCACAACGAGACGGCTCAAGATTGAAATTAATCCACATATGTATATGCATTTGTGCTTGTGTGGCTTGGGAAATCACAAATACATGATGTAATGTTATTTTATTCTTTCTCGTCGGGAATATAATCATTTTTCACAATATGTTCGCCTTTCGATTCGCGTAATTGGTAAAAGTAAAGAGTTATTAAAACCTTGATTGCCACGGTGGCCGGCCCTTTGAGCTTGCAACTTTCCTTTCAAACGCTCGAAGTAAATGAACAAAAATACACTACCGAACGATCGTATATTCTTGTTTTCCATACTAAAATACACTACCGAACGATCGTATATTCTTGTTTTCCATACTAAAATTTCATACAAACTTCAGCAAAGTAAGCAAAAGAACATTCGTAATTTTAAAAAATTGCGTACCTTTGGTTATGCAAAACGATCTTAATATGTTTGCTTTTTGTCTATCTTAACGTTGATAGGAGTAAAAAATAAATTATACGGAAGTGGTGGTTAAGGGTTACGGTATCGCTGTACGTTATCAGAGGGAAAATAGTGGAACGTAGGGGAGCCACGAAACGCGGAATTGTTGCGCGCACGTTCGTTACACGTACGATGAGCGACTCCGACGGAATTTACGCCCCGGATCGCAGGAATCTCGCCGGAGCTCCGACTTCGGTCGCGTTATCGTAACGCGTCTCCACATTCCGACTTCATGCATACAAATTATGTGATTTGTGGTAAATCCGGCCTTTTGAAACTTTAAAAGTTCGCGGAACACGGAACGCGTCGTCCGTGAGGCGGCATCGGCGTCGATCGCGCGAGATCGAGAATCGAAAAGAGACGGCGACTCGTCTGCTCGTCGACGTAAGTACGTGGCGGTAAAAAAGTTTTTCGATTCTCGTGCGTGCCCGGTTAATTTCGTCTGGTTCGAAAAATTTCCCCCCTCGGTACGTCCGTTTCTTCGCGGCGACATCGGGACACCGGTCTTCCGCGACGCTTTGTCTCCTTCTTGTTAACGAAGTTACGGAACGCGAAAAAGTGACGCGAACTCCAGCACAACAAGTTGAACGGGAACTTTTCTTCTCGCGGTACAGAACGTTCCCCGGTAATAAGTTCGTCCCCGTGGACGAGAGTTATGGTCGCGCCAATATAAATGAAATTCGGTGGCTTCG